CACACCAGAAGAGAGCACCAGATCTCATAATGGATGGTTGTGAGCCACCATGTGGTTGCTGGGAATTGAACTCAGGACCTCTAGAAGAGCAGTTGGTGCTCTTACCCTCTGAGCAATCTCTCCAGCCCCTAGGTCATGGGTTTTTAAGTCTCTGTGGCTTCTTTCCAAACTCTCCCAGACTTTAGAGGCCCTCCCAAAGGGTCCAATCTCTATGTGTGTAGAGGTCGGTATGCTGAGGCAGCATAATGGCTCCTACTACCACCCTCCTGCTGTGCCTCAGTTTACCTAAGTAGAACAGGAGGCAAATCAACTAAAAGCCAAGCAGCTGGGCAGACCTGTGAGGGATCATTAGAGGTGAGAAGACTCACCCTAAACCTGGGCCACACCTTCTGGTAACACCCCAACACACACACACACACACACACACACACACACACACACACACGCGCGTGCGCGCGAAAGGACATGGGAGAGGGAAGCTTTTGCTTTTTGTCTGCTTGTCCTGTTTTGCTGGCAAGTCCATCTGCCCTGTTGCTGAGGCATTTGCTGGTATTAGAACCTCCTTCTTTAGGATTATAACATAGAAAAGGCCAGCTGAGATATCAAACAGCCACCTGATTCTCTGCCTTTCCGTGGGGAGACAACTGCCATTGGACCAGTCGGGCCACAGCGTGAGCCACTACCCATGTGGGAGGTCCTTCTGTATGCTGCGAATGTGTGTTGCTTTCATTGGTTGATGAATAAAGCTTCTGTGGCCTGTGGCAGGGCAGAATACAGGTAGGTGGGAAAGGCAGACTGAATACAGAGAGAAAGAAGGAAAAGTCGGGAGAGATACCAGCAGCTGCTGAGGAGTAAGATGCCAGAGCTTTATCGGTTAGCCGTGGGCCATGTGGCAATGCACAGATTAATAGGAATGGGTTGATTTAAATGTAAGAGCTAGCCAGTAATAAGCCTAAACCATTGGCCAAATAATTACAATTAATATTAAGCCTCTGAGTGATTATTTTTTAAATGGCTGCAGGACCAGGTGGGACACAGAAAAGCCTCCAGCTAAGCACTCCAATGAAGTTCTTTTGGATATATATATATATATATATCTTAATTCTATCTGTTCTGTTCCTCTAGAGAACTCTGACAGGAGGCATGTGTAGCAAGGCCATGTGCTCTTACCTGGGGTTGCAGGGAGGTGACAGGCAGGATCCGGGACTCTTCTGTGGTGGGCGTGGCAGCGTCTGCGGTGGTTAGGAAGAGCATGCTGGGCGCCAGGCTGGTAGAGGACTCCTCTGTGGCAGCCTCCAGCATCTGGTCGTTAGAGGGTTCCACCTTCTTCATTAGGGAGCTGGGGCCACGGATGGCAGATCGTCCTGAGGCAAGGCAAGCACAGGGTGACGCCCTGCCGCTCAGTGTCTACCCACAGGGCAGCCCGACTTTTCTGCTGTAAGCCAATGACTACTGGGATTTATGGGCTCTTAGTCTATCCAACATCCTTGCTGTCTATCCTGCTAGAGACCTAGAAACAGCGGTCACTGGGGGAAAGGAGCTAGTTAGGGGATTTTCCTGGAGTAAGTCTGTCCGGGATGCCTGGGGGCAGACAGGGACATAAAAGCACAGAAGGTGGGGACTAGAGAGATGGCTCAGTGGTTAAGAGCACTGGTTGCTCTTCTTAGAGGTCCTGAGTTCAGTTCCCAGCAACTGCATGGTGGCTCACAACCATCTGTAGTGAGATGTGGCGCCCTCTTCTGTTTGCAGGCATACATGCAGACAGAACACTGTATACATGATAAATAAGTAAATCCCCCCGCTCCCCAAAAAAACCAAGTGGCGATGGCGTACACCTTTAATCCCAGTGCTTGGGAGGCAGAGGCAGGTGGATCTCTGTGAGTTCGAGGCCAGCCTGGTCTACAAAGCTACACAGAGAAACCCTGTCTCAAAAAACAAAACAAAATCTTAAAACAAAACAAAACAAAAACCCACAACACTGAAGGCTTCCTGGAGGAGGTGAGGCTCATGGAGGCTGAGGGACACTGCTTGGGGAGAAGCCTTTGAGAAAGCTGGCAGGAGAGCCACGGCTTGCGCGCGCGCGTGCACACGCGTGCAAGCACACACACACTCACACACACACACTCACACACACTCACACACACTCACACACACACTCACACACACAAACCACACACACAGACACACACACTCACACACTCACACTCACACACACTCACACATACACACACACTCACACACACACAC